CCCCCCCCCCATAATTAAATTCCAACGTGGTGCAAGGGCTGACAGTCTTTTCCTGCAAAATTGCTTTATCATCTTAACCTCATCTTATCTCTGAGATACAAAAGACTCTCTGTCTCAGGCTGTTTTTACAGATTGCCCTTAATGGTTTTAAGTTTCATCATTAGTGCAGAGTAGTGACTGACAAGGAAATGGGACACGGGGTGTAACATATGGCAAAAGAGGGCTATGCCTAATGTGCTCCCTTTCTCGCCCAGCCACTGGAGTAGCATTATTCCAAAGCGTTTTATAGAGAGAACCCCTGACAGAGACCGATGCAATTTAGATTCACTGCTTGCCTCTTCATTGACCCAGCTGTCCACATGCTACACGCTGTGTCCCTGCAGCCGATGGATTCATTACCTGTTTACCAGCACACCAAGGTCACATTCTCAGTAGCACCTGGGTCAGCTATATGGGTTTCCCGGGAAGCATCATGAAAGGTTTTCACTAATGAGGTCTCTTATTACACACCTTCTTCATTAACCTTCAGGGGCCTTGAGGCTTTCCTGTGCTTGTTATCTTGATTGGTCTTTCTGGGATCTCACTGCAGAACTGCTTTAATTCTAAAAATATTAGACAAATGTGTACAGCGGGGAAAAAAAGGCTGCAATTTTATCCCAGGGAGTAATATTACACATATTGAATATTCATTTAAACATCGACAGGAGAATGACTAAATAGCCCTCATTTCTAGGCCCATTAAGAGCATTGACAGATCTCGCTCTCTCTCCCCTGAGCAGCCAGCGACCATCGACAGTAAGGTTAAGTAATTCTTCTCTGTAAGTAAAGCCACTCAATTGGCTGACAGTGACCTGCTTCATGTGTTAACTAACTTGCCGAATTTCAAATTTTGAATATTTTTCAGAAACAGCGACTCTGAGATTTATAAACTGGACGTTTTATTATCAGTATTCAGCAGCTATAGGAGGGTAATGTCTGGTCTGGGTGCACTAACACAAGGACGTGCATGGGTGTGAGCATGTGTGTGACTTGATGCATTAGTCCACACACACATACACACACATGCACACACATGCATGTGTCCCCCTCAGGCTCCATGTGCCCTTTATTAACAGCAAGTTGACTCTATTCAGCTTGACTAGTGATTAAACCTTTTCATGGCTGGAACTTTCACACCGCTGTGAACTGTGCGAGGTGATTAAAGCTGCTCAATTTGTAGTCCAGTCCCACTGCTATTCTTCTTCATTGATCTTGTTTCAGGCCCTTGAAGTGAGAGCTGCATGCAGCAGGCTTCTCTTATTGGACTTAGACAGGATGCATACTGTGCCTCACTCTTTCGATCCATCATGTATGAAAACTAATTAGGGTTAGAATTAGCTGCCATATATGGTTGGCATTTAGTAACATTTATGGGGTTAACTTTGTTGTTGTTGTTTCTTTTGATACGGTAAAGACTGATACCAGATGATTGATGAGAGCAAAAAGGAGTTGACTCTTTGAAGTTTTCCCATGAAGATACATCAGACTCAAGACCGGACTCCAGTAGGATTGGTTCTGAAGAGCATACTGATCAAAATAAAAAAGAAGAAGAAAAAGATCTTTGCACTGATATGCCAGTGGGGTTTTACATATTTTATAGCCCCTGTTAAAATTTTGGCTCACATGATTGACACTTACTCAACCAGTTTCAATTTTCCCTAAGTGCACGCAAGTGGAGACACAAATACAACACCGACACACACTGCAGAAAGGCACAAAACTGCCAGGACAAGGGTTATTACATCACTAACTCTAGATGCCAAAACACTTCCCACATGGAGTTACGAGGCTAACAAGTGGTTTCAAGTCAAATAGCAAAGGCTGATTGTGGTAATGCTCTAATATGAGATTCGATCAAGCAGCAGATGTCTTTTTATTGCAAGTCATTACTGCTGTCATACTTATTAGCATATAAATGGTTTCTGGGCCTATGGAGACCTAAAAGTTATTGCATGTGTAATTGAACCTGATCTCTGCTCTGTGATTGAGATGTCCCAACACACACACTCTGCCGTGCACATTGAGCACATTGTGCTTTTTTTGTTCTTCTCATTTAAATGCGGTTTTAGGTTGTTATTTTTTCCTTTAAATACAAACAGAAGAGAAGGAAACAGAGGGGGATGTTTGATGGTAATCGTCTATTGCAGTCATTATAATCAAGTTTATTTCTAACACAGCCACAGGAATAACAGTTTGTTGATAGTGATT